TATGCATGAAAGCAGAAGCTATGCTGTCGCATCACTAATTTATTTCCGTCCTCGTATTGAGCTTGTCCTCCTGCCCATCAGAACATTAACCAGGCTAATTCTGAATGGCTAATGGTGGCAAGTTCCATAAAGCAATAGAACTGGGGGGAATGTGGGCGGGGGGTGGGGGTTGTTGGGGGCTAGGTGTGATTACTGCTTATATTGCAGTTATTGTTTTCACATTTTACCCTCAGGTCTGGTCATTATTGCTCATTGGATTACAGTGCTTAACATGTGTCTGTTAGGAATTAGTTAATATGTTCATCCTAAATGTTTTGGATTATTTACAAATAATTATTTACGGAAAGTATTCATAGCACTTTTTTCCACTTTTTTTATGTTAAAGCCTTATTCCAAATTAGATCAAATTGATTTTTTATAAATAAAATATTTTTGATAAATAAAATTTATTTATAAATTGATATTATTTTATTGAGCTCAGGTACATTCTGTTTTCACTGATCATTCTTGAGATGTTTCAGCAGCTTAATCTGTGTTCACCTGTGGTAAATTCAGTTGATTGGACATGATTTGAAAAGGCATACACCTGTCTATTTAAGGTCCCAGGGTTGACAGTGCATGTCAAAGCAAAAAATAAGCTTGAAGACAAAGGAATTGTCTGTAGACCTCCAAGACAGGACTGTTTCAAGGCACAAGGCTGGGGAAGGTTCCAGAAAATTTCTGCTGCTCTGAAAGTTCCAATGAGCACAGTGGCCTCCATCATCCATAAGTGGAAGATGTTTGGAACCACCAGGACTCTTCCTAGAGCTGGCCGACCATCTAAGCTGAGTGATCAGGGGAGAAGGGCCTTAGTCAGGGAGGTGATCAATAGCCCGATGGTCAATCTGTCTGAGCTCCAGCGTTCTTCTGTGAAGAGAGGAGAACCTTAAAGTAGGACAACCATCAGGCCTGTATGGTAGAGTGGCCAAAAGGAAACCACTCCCCGCCTGGAATTTGCCAAAAGACATCTGAAGGACTCTCAGACCATAAGAAACTAATCTCTCTGGTGATGAGACTCAAATTGAACTCTTTGGAGTGAATGCCAGGCGTTACGTTTGGAGAAAACCAGGCACCACTCATCACCAGGCTAATAGCATCCCTACAGTGAAGCATGGTGGTGGCAGCATCATGCTGTGGGGATGTTTTTCAGCAGCAGGAACTGGAAGACTAGTCAGGATAGAGGGAAAGATGAATACAGCAATGTACAGAGACATCCTGAATGAAAACCTGCTTCAGAGTGCTCTTGACCTCAGACTGGGGTGACCGTTTATCTTCCAGCAGGACAATGACCCAAAGCACACATCTAAAATATTGATTGAGTGGCTTCACAACAATTCAGTAAATGTCCTTGAGTGGCCCAGCCAGAGCCCAGACCCAAATCCTATTGAACATTTCTAAAGAGATCTGAAAATGGCTGTACACTGTCGCTTCCCATCCAACCTGATGGAGCTTGAGAGGTACTGCAAAGAGGAATGGGTGAAAATTCCCAAAGACAGGTGTGCCAAGCTTGTGGTGTCATATTCAGAAAGACTTGAGGCTGTAAGTGCTGCCAAAGGTGCATCAACAAAGTATTGAGCAAAGGCTGTGAATACTAATGTACATGTTATTTTTTAGGGTTTTATTATTATGGGGTATTGTGCATTGAATTTTAAGGAAATAAATAAATTTAATCAATTTTGGAATAAAAAAAATGATGAAAAGTAAAGCGCTATGAATACTTTCTGGATGCACTGTATGAGCTGATTAGCGTTTCTTCTTCGCACCAATCTTCAAACCCCACAGTTGGCTTTGTCCTGGTCCGGATATCACAGCGAGAGGATGGATGGAGTCTAATAAACGGCAGAACAATGGCTGTGCTGCTATCTCTGGACAGGATCTGTCTGTTCAAATAACACTGGGTTTCTCTGAGTACAGCCTGATATGATTTGAACAGAATGGACATATTAGCAAATCAAAGTATATTGGACTTCATGACGGCTTCTGCACGTGACGCGCTCTAGACAAGTCGGCGCCTTTGAAGCGAATGCCATTTCTCTTCATGAACAAGCCGCTAATGCATTTTGAATCGGAAAGTCGCTCTGGGTTATGTGACATTTATCAAAGACTCTTCACTTGCCAATTTCTCTGTGAATTTTAATGATTCATTTAGAGCTGTACCTTCACATAGGGTTCTTTGTAGATATTAGCAAGTATTTTGTCTTTTTTTAGGGGCCATTGATCGCTCTTTTATCAGATCATAAAAGACAAGCACTGAATTAACCTTTAATCAGTGCATTTAGCCATCTGTCAAAGCAAAATGCCACACACACACACACACACACACACACACACACACACACACACACACACACACACACACACACACACACACACACACACAAATCAAGTCTCTTGGTGCCTGGCAGCTTTAAATGTCTTCTGGGAATAATGAACAGGCAAGAATCATCATAACTCCATGAATACAACGGAGGTGTGATGCATGTGATGAATGCGAACAACAGACAAATCACTTGTCTAAATCAGTCTTCACTCAAACCACTGGCAAGATGTTACCTTGACAACCAGATCGAGGCGGCACCTCCTCTTCCAGCGTCCCTGTGGAGATGTCGCACACTAATGCAGCGAGAAATGGAGATATTAAATGGCTCGTTCTTTGCTCTCGCTCCCTTTATCTCTCTGCGCCTCATTCTCTCTCTCTCTTACACACATAATGCACACACACTTAGGAATAAAGTCCTCTGTGGCTTCTCCGGAGAGCTGCAATTCAGAAACCTTATGCTGAATGATTGTTTCAGACAGTACTGTTGATTTGATTTGTCACAGCTATGAGTGCCACCCAATATTGGGTGTGTTGCTTGTCTATATTTTACTTTTAAGTAAGAAAAGCAATTATTAAATGAAAACAAAACAGTTTCGTATTATTACACTGAATGATTTTAGCTATTTCATTGCTGACAACAGTCAAAAGTCATATCAAAACAAAGCTGAAGGCTTTGTGCAAGATTGAACTACACGCAGTAGCAGTTTGAGGACATAAAAATTGACAAACGTCTTGAAATGAAACATCTGAACTGTTTCATGGAGTCTGGTAACTGCTGCATAAGCATAATAATTGAGTCTAATCTGTTGAATTATTGGAAAATAATGTAATTTCACTTCGCCATCACCTCCTCAGGTTGTTTTCAAAGGCCCATCATCGATCAATCCTTAAATGTAAACTCACTGGCCACTTTATTGGGTACACCTGACCAACTGCTCGTTAACGCTAATTTGTAATCAGCCAATCACATGGCAGCAACTCAATGCATTTAGACATCTTGGCTGTTTCTCAATTCCAAGAACGCAGAGGACGGACTTGCGTTCTTGTGGAGAATGGTCTTGCCAGGTGTCTTCGGAAGAACGAACTCAGGAGACCGCGAGGGCAGAGAATGCGTGCTTTGAGAAATGGGATGCTGCGTTCTTCCTGATGGTCATGTGACCTTCACGTGTTTTAAATGGAAATTATTTAAACATTACAGCACTCATACAATGATTTATGGTTTCCCCCCCTCTTCAAAATATATACTTTGCATAAAAACATTATAAATATACTCTGCACAATATAAATAAATAAATTCTTTTTCCACTTGAACATTTCAGTTTTAAATATTTCACAATAGTTCAGTATGTTATGCAAGTGGCTTTTACAACACAGAAATATGATGAAGATTAGCTAGTAAAGAGTTTGGTGGATTTGGTAGACATTCTTCTGAAATCCTTGACATTTTGGACCAGTCAAACAAGTACCATTCAGATGAATAGTAACCCAGCTAATTGAACGTTCTCAGAACATTCCTAAAAATTGTGTACAGTGGTGTAAAAAAAGTGTTTCCCCCTTATTTGCATGTTTGTCAAACTTCAATGTTTTAGATCATCAAACATATTGAAATATTAGTCAAAGATGACACAAATGAACACATCATGCAGTTTTTATTTATTTATTTATTTATTATTTAGAGAAAACAAAACACAAAATTACGTAGACCCATGTAAAAAAGTGTTTGTCCACTAAACCTAATAACTGATTGGGCCACCCTAAGCAGCAACAACTGCAATCAAGCAATTTCGATAACTTGCAATGACCCATTTACAACTTTTTAGGGTCATGTCACAGCATCTTAATTGGATTCAGGTCAGGACTTTCACTAGCCCACTCCAAAGTCTTTTTTTGTTTTTTTGATCATTCTCCTGATCTTCAGCTTGAGGTCACTAACACATGACCATTCTTCTTTAGGATATTTTGTTACATCAGAACTCATGGTTCCATTTATCACAACAAACCCAGACCATCACGCTACCACCACCACATTTAACTGATGATGTTATTTTTCTAAAATGCAGTGTTACTTTTATGCCACACATAATGGGGGTGACACACCTTCCAAAAAGTTAAACTTTTATCTCGTCAGTCCACAGAGCATTTTCCCAAAAGTCTTGGGAATCATCAAGATTTTTTTCCTGGCAAAACTGAGACAAGCTTTTATGTTCTTATTGCTCAGCAGTGAACTCAAAAAGATGGATTATGGCTTTAGTTGGTCCTAAGAATGTAACTATGTTTAAATAAAAAATTTCAGGAGGGTGGGCGGGGCAAAGACTTTCCCACACAGGGCTATGTAGTTTTGTTATCCTTTGCTAAAAAAATCTTCATTTAAAAACTGCATGATGTGTTCTCTTGTGTGATCTTTGATCACTATTTAAATTTGTTTGATGATCTGAAACATCAAATAAGAAATTAGTGAGGGGCAAACACTTTTTTAAATCATTAAATAATAATAATAATAATAATAGAGTTATATAAACGTGTTTAAAAAGGACAAGGAATTCTTTATCCTTCATAAAAATCATTCATGGGCTCTTTAAGAAAAATTATCCATTGCTTTGCTTTGCTCTAAAGTGTTTTGAAAATCTTTTCGACTCTACAGGACCTCTTCAGCAAGTCAGATCCATTCTTGGAGATTTACCGAATCAATGATGACGGCACAGAACAGCTTGTACACAGAACTGAAGTAAGTAGTTCCACATGTTGGCATAATGAGCTTTTTTCCTGCATAATTTATCTCTTTAGTTTATACAGTGGTTTTAATTTGTATCTACAGGTGATTAAAAACAATCTGAACCCTGTGTGGGAACCCTTTAAGGTGTCTCTCATTTCCCTGTGCAGCTGTGACGACGAAAGGAAGTTAAAGGTAAATATTAATAGATAAGGTCACTCATTTTGTACCTAACCTATTTGACTGATTTACATCCGTAGAATAAAACAGAGATGTCTAAGTGTTGATTTTATATGAATGAACATTTAAAAACCTAATGTAATTTCTACATCAAAAAATTTAATTCAGGCAAGAACAACAATTAAATGAAAGCTTTTGCTCACAAGGATGCTTTGACTGAACAAAAACACTGACTGATACAGTGTATTGTGTGCCTACTTCATTACTGCTTTGTAGGTATAATGTTAACATAATGTCTGTAACAAGAAATCCATTATGCTGATGATTTAAAAAAATAGTAGATCAAACATATTTAAAGTATTAATTCAGTGCTGGGCGTTACAGTGGCGCAGTAGGTAGTGCTGTCGCCTCACAGCAAGAAGGTCGCTGGGTCGCTGGTTCGAACCTCGGCTCAGTTGGCGTGTGGAGTTTGTGTAGAGTTTGCATGTTCTCCTTGAGTTTGCGTGGGTTTCCTCCGGGTGCTCCGATTTCCCCCACAGACCAAAGACATGCGGTACAGGTGAATTGGGTAGGCTAAATTGTCCATAGTGTATGAGTGTGTGTGTGTAAATGTGTGTGTGGATGTTTCCCAGAGATGGGTTGCGGCTGGAAGGGCATCCGCTGCGTAAAAACTTGCTGGATAAGTTGGCGGTTCATTCCGCTGTGGCGACCCTGGATTAATAAAGAGACTAAGCCGACAAGAAAATTAATGAATGAATGAATGATTCAGTGCTACATTGTTTAAGTAAAATGTATTTACTTGAAGCACTCCATTCTTCTAAGTAAACTATATAAAATGAGCAGATTTTAATTAATTACGTAAAGAAGCATTTCTTTTAACATACGTTATTGATTGACCTATATCAGCATACAGTATATATGAACTTAATTTTATTTTTTATTAACAACTGTTTATTGAGTTTTTCAGGAAACAATATAAAACGGGAAAAAACAAACAAGTGTAAATTTAAAACCCACTCCCACCCATCCCACCCCTGGTAGAGTTCAAAAGTATAAAATAATAATAATAATAATAATAATAATAATAATAATAATAATAATAATAATAATAATAATAAAAATAATAATAATAATAATAAATAAACAAATCAAATAATTTTACAAAGGAACTTTACAAAGACTTTAAAAAGGATGACACAACACCAAAGGCTGGATGCCATATCGTCACCTTAGAATTGTAAGGTTCTATCTGCATTCTTAATGATTTTGAGATATTGAGCTTTAAAGTTTTTGCATTCCATAGCAAACAGTATGCGTGTAACATTTGTTTTTTTTTATAAAAAGCATTAAAAAGCGAACAACTTATAAAAAAACATCCCATAATGTAAATAAGTCGTCATTTAATAAGATTATGTCAATAACTAAATTTTGACGAAAATGTCAGATAGAACCTTATAATTCTAAGGTGAGGATATACTGACAGTTTTCATATTAGCACCTTGTAAACCGGAAGTTCAGAGTTCCATCAAGTGAATGTCCAACAAATACACAGTCCAGGTTCGTCTGTCCATAGTATGAGGAGGATTCCAGCAGTTGACCAGCAATTTTTTTTTCGCTGCTGTGAGATCAGTTAACAGAAGACATCTTTGTTGAACGGCCAAAGTGAGGTCCCAAAAGTCATTCATGAAAAAATGACGTGGTGTCAAACATATCTCGGTTCCCAAAAAGTATGATAAATCCTGTGAGAGCCAGAAAGGTCAGAGAGAGGGACATTCCCAAAAGAAATGTAAAAAAAATGCCTAACGATCCTTGTAAGCAGAAATTACAATTAGAAATAGATGAGAGAGATTTATATAAGAACTTTTCTTTGGAGTCAAGTAGAACCTATGCAGCAATTTCCAGTGTATAATTTGGTGATTAGGATTTCTAGAAGACATTTTAAACATCTCCCATACCTGATCTGAAAATAAAATGTGGACATCCTCATTAAGGTCCTTAGCCCAAACAGTTGTGATAGAGGTTTGTATGAATGCTCAAGAAGAAAAAGATAGATAACTGGTGCAGAGGAGGGAGATTTGTTAGAAGGAAGGATTAATTTACGTAATGGGTGAATTAATTTTAATGTCTTAACCAAATCCTAATTTTTAATGTTTTGTAATCATAATTTAAATGGTTATATTTTAAAAAAACATCGATAGTTATATTTTTACTTTTTAAAAATGTTGTTTTTTCAATTGTTTTTTATTTGTCACTGTTCATGTCTGTTTTATGAGACTATTTTGGTACATTTTTTTGGAATAATTATCCCTTTAAGAGACTAATTTAAAGAAAAAAACATGAGAGACAAATGAGTTAATTAGTTGTTGTAATTGTCTGTGCACCGCAGTGCTTAGTCTGGGACTACGACTCCAGGGGAAAGCACGACTTCATTGGTGAATTCTACACTAATTTCAAAGAAATGCAGAAGATTTCTTCAGGAAACAAGGTCAGTGTTTGATATCGGCCACTGCCGTTTTCCCCCAAGAGAGCTAGAATGGATTAAAGAAATGTCACAAGCCTTCTGCATGTGTGGTTAAAGTGACTCGGCTGCAGTGCAACCTTCAATTTTCAGCTCACCTCTTTGATCTCGTCCTGAAGGTCACGTGGGAGTGCATCAATCCCAAATACAAGCTGAAGAAGAAGAACTACAAGAACTCAGGCTTGGTTATTCTCAGCGATCTCAAGGTACGAGTCTGACACTTTGTGATTTACAGATGTGTCATGCTTGTTTTAGGGATGCTGTATACTGCGCACAATAGCGGCTGCGAATGAAATGACAGCAGAGTTATTATTGTCGTGGGTGTGACAATCAAGCTCAGCCTAAAGACATCAGTGGGGCGGGAAGAGGCGAATGCACTCTCCTGGTTTGTCTGCGTTCACATTGAGAGGAGGTTTATTTATAGAGTAAAGTTTAGATTTAAGTCGGTGGTTGTTGTTGGGTTTTTGAACCTTATCACATTTTCATTACATTTATTTTTTAAATATTTATCAAGACTTTCGTTTGTGTTCATGTATTGTTTGTCCCATTAATATATTTAATAAATTAATATACAGTTGAGGTCAAAATTATTAGCCCCACTGTGAATTTTCTTCATCAAATATTTCCCAAATGATGTTTACCAGAGCAAGGAAATTTTCACAGTATTTCCTATAATATTTTTTCTTCTGGTGAAAGTCTTATTTGTTTTTATTTTGGGCTAGAATAAAAGCAGTTTTAATTGTTTTAAAGCCATTTTAAGGACACATTTATTAGCCCCCTTAAGCAATATTTTTTTTGATAGTCTACAGAACTAACCATTGTGATACAATGACTTGCCTGATTACCTTAACCTGCCTCATTAACGTAGTTAAGCCTTTAAATGTCACTTTAAGCTGAATACTAGTGTCTTGAAAAATATCTAGTCAAATATTATGCACTGTCACTGCCACTGTAGGCAAAGATCAGTTATTAGAAATTAGTTATTGGGACTATATAAGTGATTGAGGCATATTATACACCCAGCACAATAAGGTGCAAGACGTGTTTTGCATGATTTGTTGCTATTTTCAGACCAACGCAACCCTAATTTTACGTTTTGTAAACCCTAATTTTATGGGTGTGCTGATCTAGAAAATAGGTGTGTTAAGATGCAATGTTGGCGCCTTGCTATTTTGAGAAAACAGAAATAGACTGCGCCATTGACCAAAAAAAGCTGGTCTAAACTCCATCGCAGAGCATGTTACTTATGCATCTATGCAGGTTCAAAAGCTTAATACACAAAGGATGTACAGCAATACACAAATATCTTTATATACAGTTGAAGTCAGAATTATTAAACCCCCTTTAATTTTTAAAAAAAAAAAAATTCCCAAATGATGTTTAACAGAGCAAGGACATTTTCACAGTATGTCTGATAATATTTTTCTTCTGAAGAAAGTCTTATTTGTTTTATTTCGGATCGAATAAAAGCAGTTTTGAATTTTTTAAAAGCCATTTTAAGGTCAGAATTATTAGCCCCTTTTAGCTATATTTTAATTAGATAGTCTACAGAACAAACCATCGTTATAAAATAACTTGCCTAATTACCCTAACCTGCCTAGTTAACCTAATTAACCTAGTTAAGCCTTTAAATGTCACTTTGAGCTGTATAGAAGTGTCTTGAAATATATCTAGTCAAACATTATTTACTGTCATCATGTCAAAGATAAAATAAATCAGTTATTAGAGATGAGTTATTAAAACTATTATATTTAGAAATGTGATAAAGAAGTCTTCTCTCCGTTAAACAGAAATTAAGAAAAAAAATTGGGCTAATAATTCATTGGAGCTAATAATTCTGACTTCAACTATATATATATAGCAAAAGTGGATTTGGACAAGCCCTTAATGTTTTTGTGCCATGCATGCGCTTTAGACTTTGCGCCTAGATTGTTAAAATAGAGCCCAATATGTTTAGAAATGTGATCTTCTTTCCATTAAACAGAAATTGGTGAGGAAAATATACAGGGAGCTAATTTTATAGGAGGGCTAAAAATTCTGACTTCAACTGTATATATATATATATATATATATATATATATATATATGGAATTATTTTTAAATTAATGCTTAAATGGTGAATATATTCAGTTTTGGGAAAACCAGACAAAAGGCCAAACTATTAGGCTTGGCAGGTTGACTAGATGAAGATTTATATAACAGCACCCTTTGCCCATTTCACTTGCAGCAGTTTCTTTATTTCTCAAACTCTGCAAAAACGCCTGGGAAAAACAAACACTGAAAACACAAAAATTCAATGATAAAACACTTTAGATACGCAACATTAAGTTTATAATGTTGTTGTTGCTGCTGGCCTGCAGTTTCTTTTTCTTCGGTATAATATATAGATTTTAATTTACTTGTACACACAGACACACACATGCATGCACACACATACATACAGTTGAAGTCAGAATTATTAGCCCCCCTGTTTATTTTTTCCTTAATTTCTGTTTAAAATTGAGAAGATTTTTTTTAACACATTTCTAAGCATAATAGTTTTAAATACTAATTTCTAACAACTGATTTATTATATCTTTGCCATGATGACAGTAAATAATATTTGACTTGATATTTTTCAAGAAACTTCTATACAGCTTAAAGTGACATTTAAAGGCTTTACTAGGTTAATTAGGAGTCCGGTGAAACACGGCTCCTCAAAAGACTTGGAGATCATCCTCCATGTTCAGTTCTGGTCTGTAATTATTTTAAATGTATTTGAGTGCTATAAAGGTGTCAGAAAGTTTAACCTGGTGCCATAAAATCAATCTACTGCAGCTGATAATTCTAATTGTTTCATAAAAACAACATTGTCCCGCAACCCCCCAGGGGGTCCCGACCCCTACTTTTGGAACCACTGTTCTAGTGGACATGTAAAAGAAGGACGTGTATCTGAAACATACATTAAAACATTCGCCATGTAACGTATTTTAAATGCACAAAATGCAGACAGCACCCTCTAGTGCATTTGTCATCTGAAACGTGCAAACAAACGTCCCCAGAGCAACGTATTTTACGTTTTGCACTCTGTAAATAAAATTCCTGCTGTCTTATTATTTTTGTTGTTGAATCAAATGAACTTTTCTCGTCATCTCAACTTTTATCAATCAAAAATGACTAAAATATTCAGTTAAACTTTAGGATTAAGTTTAACATTAAGTTATTTAAGTAAGTTAAAGCAACTCAGAAATGTTTGTTGTCTCGACTTTTTGTCATAACATTTTTTTACAGCGTACAAATGTAGACTGAGGCACATATTTCTATTAAGTCTTGGCTGGCCAAAGTTTGCAGGTAGTTTTCCATGTAATGATTTCTGGTGAGCCAGGCAGATAAATGTAGAAGGATTTCTGAATCTCACCATCCCTTCTTTATTTTGCAGCTTCACAGAGTCTATTCCTTCCTGGACTACATCATGGGAGGCTGCCAAATACACTTCACAGTAAGTGGGAACAGCAGTGCGCTCCGCATTTAGCAGCGCAGTGTGATCCAGACTCTTCACAGATTTACTGCCCGCATTCTCCATCAAGCATGTTGATGCTAATGCCAGACTTGGGTGACTGATAACTGCCTCCTCACACAAACACAACTCACATATAGTCGATTATATGTGATTTGTAAAAAAAAAAAAAAGGTAGTCCAAGTCTGTTGTTTGACTGTAAAAACTATGGGAGGTTGTTTTCACCTTGTAATTACAAATATGGTAATTGTGACTTTTTTTAGATCTTACAATTCTACATCTCTTATAATTACGCAGTTATAAAATCATATATTGTTTTTTTTATATATTTATTTATATATTAATATTGAGTAAAATAAGAGAGTACTGCAACATTCAAATGCAGAATATGAAGAAATAAAGTCAGAATTGCAAAACAATTTTAAAAAATGTGAAATTGCTAGAAATAAAATCACAATTCAGAGAAAAAAAACAACAACCAGACATACTAAATATTAGCTGTGTGGGTTTAATTGTGTGTGTTCATTTGTACATATTTTAAGTCAGTTGATCAGATCAGTCAGTTGATCAATTTTAAAAGACTAAAATACAATAAAAAAAAAATAAATAAATAAAAATAAAATGAAATAAAATAAAAAAATAAAATAAAATAAAAAATTAATGCTATAAACTGTTTTATATAATGTTTTATTTTAAATATGTCTATGTGTTGCCATTTTTAAAGTCTAATCCACAATTCTGACCTTATGCCTCACAGAATCCTTCAATTTATATCTTGAAATTGCAAGTTTATTGGCTCTCTTGCAATTCGGATTTTAATTTTCACAATATTTCTGTATTGCAAGTTTATATCACTTTTTTTTCTGGGACATATAACTGATGAATAGAGGGTTATTTATATGCAGTTTTTGACATGGTCAGTTTGCTCATGAGCTCACCTTGTACAGTGTTGTACTTATGATAATAAGCGCTCAGGTTAGAGTTTGGTAAAACAAGGTTCCACAAAAAAATTTAAATAAATAAATAAAAAAATAAAATGGAAATAATTATAATGCTTGATTAATTAATGCATACAAGTCAAACGGAATAAAATCCTAAAATGTATGCTTTAAAATAAGGTTACAATTCAGAAAAAAAGTTAGAATTGCAAGATATACACTTTTTATATAATGTTTTTTTTATATGTTTATATTTTGCAATTTTTAGAGTCTAATCCACAATTCTGACCTTATGCCTCACAGAATCCTTCAATTTATATCTTGAAATGGCAATTTTATTGGCTCTCTTGCAATTTGGATTTTAATTCTCACAATATTTCTGTATTGCAAGTTTAGATCTCACTTTTCTTTACTGGTACATATAACAGATGAATAGAGGGTTATTTATATGCAGTTTTTGGCATGGTCAGTTTGCTCATGAGCTCACCTTGTATAGTGTTGTACTTGTGATAAAGAGCGCTCAGGTTAGAGTCCAGTAAAACACGGTTCCACAAAAATAAACTAAAAATAATTATTATGCTAGATTAATAAAAGTCAAATGGAATAAAAGGCTAAATATGCTTAGAAGTAAGGTTAGCATTCAGAAAAAGAGTTATAATTGCAAGATATAACCTTTTTTTTTTAATTATGTTTTTTTTATGTTTATGTTTTGCAATTTTGAGTTTCTAATCCACAATTCTGACCTTTTTCCTCACAGCATCCTTCACTTTATATCTTGAAATGGCAAGGTTATTGGCTTTCTTTCAATTCTGATTTTAATTCTCACAATATTTCTATATTTCAAGTTTTTATCTCCCAATGTTTATATATATTACTCACTGAAGTTAAGCAGGGCTGGGCCAGGTCAGTACCTGAATGGGAAACCACATGGAAAAAAAACTAGGTTGCTGTTGGAAGTGGTGTCAGTGAGGCCAGCATGGGGCGCTCAGTCTGTGGTCTGTGTGGGTCCTAACGTCCCAATAAAATGAAGGGGACACCATACTGTCATTAAGCGCTATCATTCATATGAGATGTTAAACCGAGGTCCTAACTCACTGTGGTCATTAAAAAATCCCATGGCACTTTTTGTAAAGAGTACAGGTGTAACCCCGGGGTCCTGACCACATTTTTTCTATCGACCAATCATCCACCGAATTGGCTCTATCACTGTCTCTTCACTACCAATAGCTGGTGTGTGGTAAGAGCACTGGCACCGTTATCCTTTGGCAGCCGTCGCATCATCTAAGTGGACGCTGCACACTGGTGCTAGTGTGGAGAGACCCCCTCATGATTGTGAAGCACTTTGGATGTATGGCCATACACAATAAACACGCTGTATAAGTACACATTACACTACATTACAATTGCCCGCTATCGGCAGCTAGCTCTTTGCAACTCTCACATGGTCGCCCACTGATGCTACCAGTACCTAGATGGGAGACCACATGGGAAAGCTAGGTTGCTGCCAGAAGTGGGTTAGTAAGGCCAGCAGGGGGCGCCCAACCTGCGGTCTGTGTGGGTCCTGATGCCCCAGTATAGTGAAGGGGACCAATACTGCTCAGTGAGCTCCGTCTTTCGGATGAGATGTTTCTGTGGTCGTTAAAAATCCAAGGATGTCCTTCGAAAAAGAGTCTGCCCACTGGCCTCTATCCATCATGGCCTCCTAACCATCCCCATATTCCAATTGGCTTCATCTCTGTCTCCTCTCCACCAATCAGCTGGTGTGTGGTGTGCGGTCTGGCGCAAAATGGCTGCCGTCACGTCATCCAGGTGGATGCTGCACACTGGTGGCGGATGAGGAGATTCCCCCCCATTGTGTAAAGCGCTGTGAGTGCCCAGAAAAGTGCTATATAAGTTTAAGGAATTATTATTGTTATTAATTCTGAGTGTATATCTCCAGTTATGAACACACAGCTGTGGAAAAAAAAGTCAATGTTGTAAATCAGAAACTTGAGAAACTTTACAGAAAAGTTGTAGAAAGTTGTGAGATAATGTCACAATTTCCATTTATTTATTCTGTGCTGCAAACAAATTTCCATTTTTAAAAAAAAGTAGCAATCAAAATATGTTATTTATTCCCCATTCACATTTGTCATTTTGATAACACTTTTGACAAGCTACCCTTGAGTTTCCTGTTGAGCCTGATTGTTTCACGGCTGGAGGCAACAACAGATTAAAACCACCTTTAAACTGTTTTTTTCAAAGACCCCCTCTCCTATGCCTCCTTTAAGAGCGACAAAATGGGTCAAGATCGTTAATGAATTCAATTGAATATTCATTATTTAAATACCAGAATTCTCCCGTTGCCTGTTAAAGTAAAGATAATCAGATGTCAAGTATAGTGAAAGCCTCAGAGGGAATGTTTCACACAAGACCTTGTTAACTATTCAGCAATGCTTTAATATAATCATGCATCAAGTGTTTTGAGATGTATCGGAGAGCATATGGTAGCCATTTATGCTGTTTTGGATTGCAACATCTGTTTGATGAATGACTCTAAACAAATAAAACATACATTTCAAGCACTTTAATTATTGATGCAGATGGGCATTTGATTGCAGAACTATTCTCTGCTCTTTTTGTGGGGCTTCCTAGGAAAATAGACAGGCATTTTCGTAGACAGACGTTTCCTTTCAATTTCCCCACGATAGGAGACCACTGTTCCAGGCGTGAAACTAAAACGATTAAACTTATTTGACGATCGATCAGATTATATAAGCTGTTACATTTTGGTCCGACTTTTTGGAGTTTTACCAAGAGAGTTTGTCATGCTGTTATCTCTCTAGGTTGCCATAGACTTCACGGCGTCCAATGGGGACCCTCGCAATAGCTGTTCCCTGCACTACATCAACCCATATCAGCCCAACGAGTATCTGAAAGCTTTGATAGCCGTGGGGGAGATCTGCCAGGATTATGACAGGTTAGTGCTGGTGCTGCTGATGCTGATGATGATGGAGCCGGACACAAACACACAGGTTTTGCGACTGGAATTGAGTACATGTAGTGCTGGAAAATAGACTGTTCTGTAATAACTGACAATTGTAAAAGTGAAGGGGGCACATTGGCTCAGTGGTTAGCACTTTCACCTCACAGAAAGAAGGTCACTGGTTTGAGTCCTGGTTTGGCCGGTTGGCATTTCAGTGTACAGTTTGCATGTTCTCCCCATGTTCTCGTGGGTTTCCTCTGGGTTCCTCCACAGTCCTAAGACATGCGCTGTAGCTAAATTGGGTGAACTAAATTAGCCTTAGTGGATGAGTGTGTGTGTGAATGTGAGAATGTATGGGTGTTTCCCAGTACGGGGTTGCAGCTGGATGGGCATCCGCTGCGTAAAACATATGCTGTAAAAGTTGGCGGTTCATTCCACTGTGGCAAACCCTGTTAAATAAGAGACTATAGGCTGATTTATACCGAGGCTGACGCCGACTCTGAAGTGCACTTCTCAAAAAATGTAACTACACGTTGCAATGACGCATAGTGCAAGCTCCGTGATTGGTCGGCTTGGTAGCTGTGACGAGTGTAGGTGATGCTGAGAGCCGCGAGCCCTATGGAGCTAGTGTTTACAAGTGTCGAGTCCCGGGGAGTAGCTCCAGATGGAAACTGTTGTTTTGTTTTTACCTTATGATTAAAGTTGTTGGACGTCTGCTGTTTTCCACCTCTGAATGAATGAGTTTAGGGCATACTCACACTATGTACAGTTGCCTTGAACCAGGGCAAAGTATGCTTGTCCCCCTCCCGTCTCCCCCGACGGCCTGCACTCACATTACATTCGGGCCTGGGCACGCTTACGTCATCGATGCTGCGCTGTTTAGTAAGCGCCCTCGCTCAGCACAGTGGAGATTTCTCTAGTTATATCGCTTTAGTCGTTTGATATGCAGTGACACGCAGCCAAATATTTCACAGAACAGATTAACCACTTTCGACACTCATAAACAACAATAAAGTCTTCATGCTGCAGGTATTAGGAGGTTTGCTGAAGGTGCAGCTGTTGTGCAGTGAGGGGTTTGCGTCTTTAATAATCTACAACAGTTCGATTTCATTGAACAGTAAGAATCATTAATAAATCTATATCCCGTAAAAGTCACGTCTCATCTCATCTTCAGTTTCGGGCTCTGGCGTGCTTTACACTCACACTATAAGCGTACCGCACCAAAACCCAAGTGAACCACATTTTGGCACACCTTTTCCAACCGGGCCAGAGCTAGCCAAGTGATCCATGCCTGAGCCTGATTCAAAGCACTCACACTTCTCAAACGATTCGGGAAACGGGCTTGGGCATGGTTCGGATAGCATAGTGTGAGTAGGCACTTAGCTACTTGTACTTTAAGGTAGTGTTCAGAAAAACAAAACACCGCGAAGAAACTCGACACAGAGGAACATAACATAGCTTACTGCCAGCTAGCTTTTTGGAACAGTTAATGCTGAGCAACACAAACAGCATGCAGAAGTATAAATGCATGACTACCCGCAAGGCAATGCGCCATGGGTCATGCAGATCACTTGAAGCAGAAGTGTAAACCAGCCTTAAACCTAAGGAAAATGAATAAATGAATTAATGAATGAATGAATGAATGAATGAATGAATGAATGAATGAATGAATGAATGAATGTGAAGTGAAAGGCACGACTTCAAGTTCAAGTATAAGAATACGCATATTTGGCATGCTGTCCGGAGAGAGCCGGGAAAAATCTTAAAGTTGTTTTGTCCACATTTTGTGTAATTTGCTTTCAAAGTTGTGTTCATTACACCTCAGTCTTAATGATTTTCAGATTCACAATATGCTGTCTTTGTAGTCCACGCCGAAAGCATTGATTTTGATTGCAGCTGAGGCTCGTGAAGAAAGTGAACATGTATTACAATTGGAAAGCTTGTGAAAACAAAACATACACATTAATGCTTTTATTTTGGGCTGTATTAAAAATGTATCTGTACTGTACATATAGCAGTGCAACATTTCAGCAGTGCTTTGAGTATAAAAGTCAGACATGGTGTAAGTGTGTATAATTCTTTTGAAATGTTTTAGAGAAACTATTGTCTTTTAATGTTGACAACACATTGTTTATCACGTTTTAGTGATTTATCGAAAGTATTGCAACAGTTTGTGTGATCTGTTTGTATGGAAATGCTTATGAGGCCTAGAAGAGGTCACTGGGAAAGGTGGAAACAACAACCAGTAAGTTTCTGGGAATAAAAATAAAGAGCATTGATAGCATGATGGTAAGAAAGAGTACTAAGGAAGGCTATCATGATTGATAATGATGAATTTCATCCTTTATTCCAATTGTTACCATCAGGTCATCAATATTGTTTCCAGATGTGTTAGAAATTGGACAAAATGATCATTTATACCTCAATTAAGTTTTTTTTAATTCCTCTTCCCTCAGTAGCAGTTGATGGCCAGTAGACTAGATATTTATTTAGTATAGGGGTACCATGTTTTTATAAGATTTATTTATATAAATGCCAAATGTGAAATGTCAGATGTCGCTGTGTGTTTATGCTGCAAATGAAATTTCCCTACGAGACAAATAAAGTAAACTAACTAACTAACTAACTAACTAACTAACTAACTAACTAACTAACTAACTAACTAACTAACTAACTAACTAACTAACCAACCAACCAACCAACACTGAAAAAATGTTGCATGCAGAACTGTTGCAAACAATTTATTTGTGTTGAATTTAAAAAATAAATTAAATTGAATTATGTTCAACTTAATTTGTGGGTTTAAATTCAACACAAATAAATTGTTTACAACCACTTAATGTAAAAAAAATTGAGTAAATCAAAGGAATCATCTTTGATTTTTTTTTTCAGTGAACCAACCAACTAACTAACTTCTGAAATCAAATATAAATTCATAGACAACAAATTATTAAACAATGATTAACCCATCTTATTGGAAGACACATTAAAGCAACATAGGCTCACTCGGTGGACTTGTGACGCAGAGAGGAGTTGATCGTAACGACGGGGTATGGGGTTCGCTGGTCAATCGGTGCTTTTGAAAATACTATTGGTTGGGTTTAGGGAAGGAGGAGGGTGGCCCAGTCAATCGGTCAGTTAGTCAGTCGACAGCAACCTCTGGTGGATTTAAGTGAGAACAGCAGGCACTAATAGCATTCGCAAGAGATATTTGAGATCTCAAAATGTGTACACAGCGACCAAAAACTGCAAAACTCCTGGGACGTATTTGGCGCTCATCAAAAATGTATATGGCAGTACATTTTCAGAATGAACCTGGGTTGCATTAATGTTAGTTTACATATTAAATCACAAATGAACTTTTACTAAATATGCATACCTATTTCAAAAATCCAGAAAACCAATAAGAACTTTAAAGTGTTCTCTTCATTCTCTCCAGCACTGTAGGCTGTGCAGACCAGTTTAACCAACATTTTTAGGCATAGTTTTTTATTAAAACAAATGTAGGCTTCCTAAAAAGCATGCTGATATTAAATGTATTATTCAAAAGGAATATATAATCCAAAAATGAAAATGTTGTCATCATTTACTCAGGAAACCTGAATGTCTATCTTCTGCAGAATGCAAAGTGTAACTGGTGCCCAATGACTCAGCAAGCTAACAGTGGGCTGTCAACAAGCTTTAGTTTAGAGAGGTTTAGATTCTGTGCTGTGTTCTGCAACATCAGCATTATACAGGCTCCGATGGGACGTTGTGGCTGACACTCCATAGTTGTTGCTTGTAGTCTTTGCTGTTGCAGTGTGTTAAAGCATAATGTTTCAGCCCTGATGCAGCAGCACAGGTGGGGAACAGTCAACTTTCTTCACTGCTATTCTCTGGCATCAGCTTGAGTTGTGAGGGCCCTTGGTATTTTTTTTTAAGTTAGTGGGGACCAAGTGGTTTTAAAGATCCTCACAAATTTATACAGGTTTGGAACAATTTAAAGGTGAGTAAACCAGGACAGAATTTTAAATTTAGTTCACCCAAAACTAAAGATTCTGTCATCGTTTACTCAGTCTTTACTTGTTCCAAACCTTTAGGAGTTTCGTTCTTCTGTTGAACACAAAATAAGATTTTAATATTCCCATGTAGATTGTAATTTCCCATTGCAACTTCCCATTTTACTCCATGTAGATTGTAACCTCCGATTGTATTCCCATCTCGATTGTAACTTCACATTTTAACGTCCCATTGTATTACCATGTAGATTATACGTTTTCATTGTAACTTTACATTGTAACGTCCCATTGTATCCCCATGTTGATTGTATCTTCCCATTGTAACGTCCCATTGTATTTCCATGTAGATTTTAACTTTTCATTGTAACTTCCCATTGTGTTCCCATGTAGACTGTAACTTTCCATTGTGACTTTCCATTGTAACTCCCCATTGTATTCCCATGTAGGTTGTAACCTTCCATAGCAATTTTCTAATGTAACATCCCATTGTGTTCCCATGTAGACTGTAACTTTCCATTGTAACTTTCCATTGTAATTTCCCATTGTATTCCTATGTAGGTTGTAACTTTCCATTGCAATTTCCTAATGTAACATACCATTGTGTTCCCGTGTAGATTGTAACCTTCCCATTGTATTGTCCCATAGTATTGTCCCATTGTATACCCATGTAGCTTGTAACTTTAAATTGTAACTTTCCATTGTAACGTCCCATTGTTTTCCCCTTGTATATTGTAACTTCCCATTGTAACTTTCCATTGTAACTTCTCATTGTAATCCCATGTAGATTTTATCTTTCCATTGTAACTTTCCACTATAACGTCCCATTGTATCCCCATGTAGATTATAACTTTCCCAATGTATTCCCATGTAGATTGTAACTTTCTATTGTACCTTTCCATTGTAACGTCCCATTGTATTCCCATGTAGATTGTAACTTTCCCATTGTAATGTCACATTGCAATACCATGCAGATTGTAACTTTCTATTGCATTTCCA